CTCAGGACTATATATACAATATATAAAAGAGAGAGAGATTTTTTTAAGTATAGCATGAAAGGGTTTGGTCCATTAGATATATATTATGTTTTTCTGTCCTATACAAAGGTTCAGCCTTTTAAATGGGGCATGCAGCGATTAGCCATTAACCCATCTGCTATGTTTTTCTCTCCTGCTCTGGAGAACTGACACACTAGTCTCATGGCACAAGTAATATCAAAAGCTGTTCTTTCCACAATACACCTAGACCACAAACAATGGACTATCGTTCAGAAATGCTCAATTATACTCTTACTAGAGGCCCAGTGCATGAGATTCGTGCATACATGGTCCTTCAGCCTGGCCTGCACTCTCTCACAGAACTGGAGCCCTCAACCATCCGAGAGCCCTCCAGGGGATGTCCATCAGACATCCTTAGTGCTACCATGGAAGCGGGAGAGGCTCCCGCCACCACCAATGCACTCATCAGCTGTTACCCCAGCTTCTGGGTTCCTGGCTGAGTGGTGCTCCTCCTGTAGGAGAGCACTGACCACCAGGGGGCAGCTCCTGCGTTGAATGTCTACCCTTGGTGGTCAGAGCAGGACATAGGGACTGATTGTTCCACTGTTCAGTTGATTTGCATATTACCCTTGTATTATATAGGATGCTCCACATACCTAAAAAACTCAAAATAAGCCAAACACCCCTTCTCTTTATGCCCTGACCCCACCCTATCTATGCATGCTCCTATTCCCTCCCTTCCCTACACAAATCCTCCAGTCCAGACAACCAGCCTCCTTGGTGTTTCTTGGAGATATCAAGACCTCTCTTTCCAGCAACCCCTATACCTAACCCATCCATTGAGGCCTAAAAAATTCATGATATTCCCCAAATATTTCTTGATCATAATAGCTCTTAGTGATGACTCACATTTTTGAATTTGGAGTATGCAGCTAATATAAGAAGTTAACAGCACAATGTATTATATATCAGAAAGCCAAAGAACTAACATTCTGTTTATAACAAAGTAAATCAGCAGGCAGCAGAATTCTACAGATGATGTTCTCAGTATCACACACATATTTATATCACACTAAATTATTTGTGGCTTTTCCTTCTAATGAATTTATAATCTTCTTGGGGGCAGAGACTATTTCTCAGACAGAAGTAGTATGAAAACTCCCTGTCATAACTAGCACTAATAGCTCTGGACATGCAGAAAATACACAGTAGCTTGTCAATGATTTGCTCCCTAGGGAAGCTACGAATATTACGTGGTTGAACTGAAGAATAAAATCATTCTAACGCAATACAGCAAGTGATAGAGAATTGAGAATAAATATGCCATTTTCAGTCATTTGAGTGGGACTTTGGACTCCTAGAGACCCACTCTGTGTGCAATTTTAGCAGAGAGGATGTGGTGGAGGGAGGGGAGAGATTAATAGACTAGAGTGTCAGTTCTCAAATGGTCTTTAAAATTATCTAATGGAAGTCATCCTTTTAGAGATGAAGAAGTCCTTGGAAGTCTCCTAACTGAAACTGGGAGACCAGCTGCATCTCATGAGGTGGCCACAGTCCTGACTGTGCCCTTTGCACATGCAAGGCAGCTTTGCAGCAAAAACACACATGCCATTTCTCACTGAAGGAAGTGCCTCACCTCTGCCAGGAGGCGGGGAGTGAAACATCATTCAGAGTTCCCATCATGGTTAATGGGAATGCATTTAATGTTGTTTTAATGATGTGGAACATTGTTAATTGCAGATCTATTGTAATTGCTTTCTTTTCTTCTTCTCATCCCTGATACATGAAACAAATACTAACACATCCTCTAAAAACTTATAAAGAGTACAGTGTGGTGACAAGAAAACTTGAGTTCCAATAACCAAACTCTTCACTGAGCAGCTAAGATATTTTTTCTTTGTTTTTTGTTTTCTTCAATTTTCTAACATGACTTTTTTTTTATCCCAGGCAATGACAAAGCAGGGCTGGACATTGTCACTGGGGTATTTTTATAAACAAATACTGACTGTGTATCTATGGCGAACAGGCACAACTCCAGGAATTACAGAAGATCAAATGAATAAGATTCTGTTTCTGTACTCAAGAATCTAGTGAAATGATTAAATATGAACATAAAATGTCTAGTAAAGGGAGAACATAAGGAACTATTAAATAAGCTATGGAATTTCGAAGAGAAGACAAATTTCCTGATTTTGCTCAATTGGGGGAAATCAAAAGAATAAAACCATGTGTGTTTATAAAGCAATATCCACAGAAATTAGAAAGTTCTTAATTTCAAAAGATGGATATCGTCCATAATAGATAATTCTTTAGAATACACACTTACTTCTAACATTCAATTGTCTATTGACAAAAGAATATGCTTTTTTCATAGATGTTAGATTTTTAGTTTTCTCCAAAGAGCAACTTTTATTTGCCTTCAACAAAATATTACTACAACAGAGTTAATAATGAAAAACAATATAATTTTGCATGTTGGCACACTTTACAGCTTCCAAAGCATTCGCACAAATACTATTTCAATAGGTCTCACTGGGTTGCCCATAACCCTGAGGGGTACATAAGGTCAGCTTATCGTGATTCTGGGTTTGTAAATGTGCATGTTATTATTATTATTATTATCATTGTGCACAGAGGATTCTGAGGCTCAGATGAGTTTTATGAGTATCAGTGACAACTAGCATTTGTCAAGCTCATCAGACAAAATAAAAATTTCTGTCTAAGCTATCCAATCTAAAATTACATACACATTATATTACACTTGAAAACTAAATGGTTCTGGGAAAGTTGGAAAGCCACATGCAAAAAAATAAAACTAGATTATAGTTTGTCCCCACATATAAAAATGAACTCAAAATGGATCAAAGACCTAAATATAAGACCTGAAACAATAAATGACATAGAAGAAAACATAGGTACTAATCTTGTGGACCTTGGTCTTAGAAAAGTTTTTATGAATTTGACCTTAAACGCAAAGGGAGTAAGGCAAAAATAAATGAATGAAACTATATCAAATTAAAAAGCTTCTACAACAAAAGAAACTTCCAACAAAACAAAAAGGCAACCAACCTAATGGGAGAAGAATTTGCAAACAACAGTCCTGACAAAGGATTAATATCCAAAATATATAAAGAATTTCTACAACTCAGCAACAGACAAACAAACAATCCTATTAAAAAATGGCAAGAGACCTAAACTGAGACTTTTCCCAAGAAGACATACAAATGGCCAACAGATTTACAAAAAGATGTTCAACCTCACTAGCCATTAGGGAAATGCAGCTCAAAACTACAAAGAGATACTACTTCAAACCTGTTAGAATGGCTATTATCAATAAGACAAGTAATAACAAGTGCTAGAGAGGCTGTGAAGAAAAGGGAGCCCTCATTCACTGCTGGTGGGAATATAAACTGGTACAGCCACAAGGGAAAACAACATGGAGGTTCCTCAAACAATAAGAATAGAATTTCTGCCAGAACTGGTTTTGCTCAGTGGATAGAGCGTTGGCCTATGGACTGGAAGGTCCCGAGTTTAATTCCGTTCAAGGGCATATACAGTACCTTGGCTGCAGGCACATCCCCAGTGGGGGCTGTGCAGGAAGCAGCTGGTTGATGTTTCTCTCTCATCAATGTTTCTAGCTCTCTATCCCTCTCCCTTCCTCTCTGTAAAAAATCAAAAAATATTTTTAAAGAAGAAGAAGAAGAAGAAGAAGAAGAAGAAGAAGAAGAGGAGGAGGAGGAGGAGGAGGAGGAGGAGGAGGAAGGAAAAGAAGAGGAAGGAAAAGAAGAGGAAGAAGAACAGAATTACCATATGATCCAGCAATCCCTCTTCTGGGTATTTACCCAAAATTTTTGAAAACATTTATTCGCAAAGGTATACGCACCCCTATTTTCACAGCCATAAGAAGAGTAAATTTGCAACAACATAGATGGACCTTGAGAATGTTATGCTAAACAAAATGAGTCATTCAGGAAAAGCCAAGAACCACATCATTTCACTCATATGTGGGATATAAAACTGAAAATCACAGACATAGACAACAGTATGGTGATTACCAGAGGGAAGAGGAAAAGAGAATAGGAAAGGGAAAAGAGGACCAAATATATGATGATGGAAGATGATTTGACTTTTGGTGGTGGGAGCAAAATACAATATACAGATTATATACCATAAAAATGCACACTTACAATCATATAAACTTATTAATCAGGGTCATTCCAATAAATATAATTTAGAAACAAAAAAAAGAAAGAAAAAACACGTTCCCACTGGTATATGTTCTCTTTAAAAACAAACATGTCCTGGGCAGCACTAGGCATCTGGGAGCCTAGCTTCCCCTTTTTTTCATGCATGGCCCCTTGTTCCCTCCTCAGGCACTGGGCACCCTCTCTTCTCTCATCTTTTCTTCCCAAGAGAGCTTCGAGCAGCCATTTGTACTTCCACCCTAAAGAGCCAAAGGCACTGAATTATGTCCTTCAGGAGTAGTTTGGCTTTAAAACTTTGTTATAACTCCACAGGGGAAGTCTTTCAGCTGATAAACACATTTAGGGCAGCAGCCACCAGGTGGAAGGAGTTTGGTCCTGAGCCAGGATGTTGCCATGTTTCCCTGCAGCGAGGAACAAAGGGCCTCAAGCTTATCTTCAGGGTCATTGAAGAAAAGAGAAGCTGGCACTAATGCCTTGTGTCCCTGCAAAGAACTTCAGGGATGAGCAATGACAGATTTAACAAGCAGAGAAAACCCACTGAGTCTTAAGGGGCCAAGGTACAAAGAAAAGGAAAGAAACACAATCCAGGAAGCAGCCAGGGGCTGAGAATGATTTCCCCAAGCCCTCACTCCCAATGCCACATCCCCACATTGCTCCTGGCCTGAGCTCAGACTACAAAGGTACAAGCCCTGTGGCTCTTAAAATCTTCCCAACTACAGAAAGGGGAACCCTCAAGTCGTACAACCACGACCTACTCTTCTCTTGGAAACACGGAGTGGGAAAAGCAGTCCTTACCTCGTAATGGGCCACGCGCTGAGATTCAGATATCAGTTGTGCACTGCACACCTTGCAGTAACTGTCTGTAAATAAATCCTGGTCGATATCGGAGGACTTCATCAGGCTAAAGGAGAATCAACAGAAGATAAAAGTGAGTCCACTGCTTTGATGTTTACGTAAGACATTGACTGTGTGAAAAATCCAAAAGCATAGCAACAAACCCCATGATAGCCACAGTGGAGAAGCACACCCTAAACCTTTAGTGTTACCATTTTGAATAACCATAGTATGTGTATAGTTTGTAATTTTCTCATAAATTTCCAATAGGGTTGCCGGTACTGTCAAAAGGAATTCCAGCTTTAATTTTCTCTGTTTGATAAACCAGACTTACATCTAATGCACTCCTTGTCAAGGAATTCTAGAAGAGGATATTTTCACATATGGTTTTATATTACCAGAAGTTGGCATTTCATACTCCCAACAGTAGAAAATAGGTTAAATGAATTTTGATGCATTCACACACTAGAACATTGGGTGATTCCTAAATCTACATTCAAATCAAATCCTTTTTAAAAGAATATTTAGTGAAATAAAAAGCTCACTGTTGTCAACAAAAGAGGTTTATAAATCAATATCAATTTGAATTTGTTTTCAAATATGAATAGGTACATAGAAACATTCCAGGAAATCTTAACAAAATTTTAACAGCAGTTATCTTTGAGATATTATAGGCAATTGCCTGTGTAATTTACTTTATTTATAAGTTGTCTACAATAATCATGTAATACAATTTTGCTTTTTCAAGAGCCTTATGATCAATATGAGATCTAATTTTGAGTTTAACTCTATACTTTGAAAGTTCAAAAAGAAAATCTAACCGATCCCTAACTTATACTTTATAAAATAAGGAGTCCTCACCATTCCTGCTCAATTTTCTACCCATAGGTTGTTAAAATTCATAAGGCCACCTTCATTATTTCATACCACAGTGAAACAACAGAGGTATGTATAAACATAATCATAATCTCAAATTCCAAACCCCAAATCAAAATGCATCCAAGGGTCTAAAGCTTGTGAAAGTAACTTGGCAGATAGGTGTCTTATAGCAGCTAAAGTGTAATGTTACCACCCTAGAGACTCGCACCAAGGTATCGGAAGGTTTTCCTATAGCCCACAAATTCGCTTTATTTTACCCCTTACCTGTCAGGCAAAAAGTAAGGAGTGTGCCAGACAACCTGTGGTATGGAGAGGCAAGAGAATTTCAGACAGTAAGTGGGAACCTTGGAGTTTATCTTATTCCAATGCCCCTTTTTTACATATGACACTGTCTAAAACAGTGGTTCTCAACCTTCTACTGTTGCGCAAATATCTTTGTTTTCTGATATTTAGACTCTACAGCAGAACTGCTGGCTCTACAGTAGTGGTTCTCAACCTGTGGGTCGCCTAAGACCATCAGAAAACACAGATATTTACATTACAATTCATAACAGTAGCAAAATTACATTTATGAAGTAGCAATGAAAATAATTTTATGGTTTGGGGTCACCACAACATGAGGAACTATATTAAAGGGTCACGGCATTAGAAAGGTTGAGAACCACTGGTCTAAAAGCACATTGTTGATGCTTGGTGTGGTCATAAATACCACCTAGCTTACATGATTTTAATTTCCATACTCCAGATCCATCTCAGGTCTATATGCTACCCACCACTCATGTGATGTTGGAAAAGTCAATAATCCCTATAGGTCTCATTTTCCCTCCTATAAAAATTGAGAACATAATATTTTCCATGCCTCCTTAAAGAAATGTGGTGAATATCAAAAGGAGAAATATAAGAAAAGATACTATATAAACAGCCAAATTATCTCTATTTTAAAGTGATTGTTTTTATACTTTTAATAATATATCTACTGATGTTGGTAAGATGTTGGCCATGTCTTTTTTTAATTTTATGAATAAGTTCATTTTCATGGTCCTTGACATATGCTGAACTGTGGAGCTGGGATCCATGGTAAGGCTGTGTGGTGCCTTATGCCTCTCTGCCTCCTAAAGTCCTATTGATTGTCTCCAGAGACTCCACTTCTGGAGAAACTGAAGTACATTTAGAAGAGCATGTTCCCAAGAGGAGTGAAAGTTGGATCCCAGTTTAATAACATCAAATACAGTGCTTTGTTTCTTGGTCCATCCTGTTCTGGCTTCAGAGAAATAAGACCATTGCTAATTAGATTGATGCACTCTGTACATTGAACTGCCTCGTGTCAGAGATCTTGTCCCTGTTTTGTTTTTTTTTTTTTCTGTTCTAGAGGCTCATTATGTTCTCTTTTTCTTTGAACATGGAATCTAGGTCTTCAATTTTGAAAACAAATTTGGACTCTTGACTCTGGAACCCAAATTTCCTTAGCAAGTTGCTCTGTAGACTCCATGCCAGGATATGAGTTATTCCCAGTGCCACAATGAGGGTGTGCAACTGGGAGGAAGTATAACTGGTAGGACACTGTCTTTTCTACTTTGAATCTCCTCCACAGAGTGATCTTGGTGTTGACTTGTTTCTACATCCTCCTTGGGTTCTGGCCTTTTCTGAACTTAGTACCTAGTTCTTCAATTCTGAAACCAAATCAGGATTCTAGACTCTTCAATGTCCACTTCTAAAGCAAGCTTTTTCTTGGAAGTATAACCTGAGTGAGGTCTTTGTTGAATGCTTTGATGAGGATTTTCAATGGATCTTCTGTGAACTGAGTACAGCTTCATCCATGACTCATTGCTATGGTCTTGTTTGGAGAATTGTCTTGGGCTATGTTGGAAGAGTGTCCTGAGTCTCAGCCTTCAACCAAGAGTGACCAAGTTTTGATTAAAGCAACAAAATGAAATACTGCGGTCCATTTTGAAGGATTTTTGAATCCATCTAAATAGCTGTGCCACACGAGTAAAGTATCTTCCTGGAATAAAAGGATGCCTGCCTTAACAACTCCAAGCTCACTTTCTACTGTGACCTTGGCTGTCATGGCCCATTAGAACATTTGTATTAAGTGATTTGGCACAACAGTACTTCTGGCTTTTCAATGCCCCACAACCATAGGAATGGCAGATAGTAAAAACCACTGACTCACATAGCTGAAATGGACATGTTCTTCTGAAAGCATCAGTATTGGCAGACAGCCCAGGAAGCCTAGAGTCCCACACTGAAAGTGCCTGGAGACTCATTATCTCACATGACAACCTGTTCCAGAGAGTCTGGCAACTCTAGTTGTCAGGTACTTTTTAGGTTGCATCGAAATCCCACTGTAGATTTCACTCATTGATTCTGTCTTTGGATATAACATAAAACAATTTTACTCTCCTTTTTTACGAGATATTCTCCATCAAATGTTTGAAGATAGCTCTCTTCTATCTATTCTCAGACTCTGTCCTGTCTTTGTAATCTTGGTCTGTATCTATCTCTATATAGGCTACATTCAAAGGCAGTCCTAAGAACATAATGAAACACTACAGATATGGTCTAAATGGTGCAGAGAATCACAAATTCATATGACTATCCAAAATATCCATTGTCATGTGTAATGGTCTCTATTCGCATCCTGGAAAGTAAATGGAGGAGAGGTGCTTTGGTGATGGGAAAATGTAGTACAACATTTTGAAATGCCAAATGGGAGACTTATTAGGTGTAGTTTTGAAGCTAGGCTCTTACAAGTAGCTGTGTTTAAATATTGTGTTCTCTGCTATTTTTAATAAAGAAGTGCACGAAAATAGATTCATGGGTGACCTGGTTAATAGGAATCTACAAACTCACTGCACACTCCTTTCTCATTATACAATCGACTGCAGAAATCAAACACTGTGAAAGCATATTCAAGGTACATGTCGGACCAAGTGGGACCCGTAGGAGTCTGAGTCTTGGTAAAGCAGTTGTGCAGCAGAAATAGCATTAAAGACAGAATATAAAACTTGTGTGCTAAAATAAATATATTTAAAGGAAAAAGAGATGATCATGGATTTTTTTCCTCCGTTTTATATCTATGTTTGCATATAAGAATTTTGATTTAAATAAGCCCATAACAAAAAAGACCCCTCCAAATTTTACAAGACCCAAATGGAATACACAAATAGATTAAATTCCAGTGGGAGGCAATTAGTGGACAAGTGTCAGCCAGGTTTGTGCATGAGGGCTTTTCTCCAATAGAAGAGAACTCTCTCTGTGTAGGTCACTTTAAGCAGCTAGAAGGACTGATCTATGATTTAAAGAGTGAAATTCCCAAGGGGCAAGGGACTGCCAGTTGACTCCCTCTTCTGGCTTCGTTAGAATAGGGTTATCAGCTTCTTTGGCCTTAAGAAGCACAGGTGAGCTGCTAAGCAAAAGGAAAACAAACCTGATTTCCTGGCTTTAATTAGCAGCTAGACCAGAAACAGGGCAGGGCCACTTATTGGTCAGTCCTACTGTCACATCAGAGCCTATGTGTGGTGACCTCCACCCTAAAAACACACTCACTGTGCTACACTCTGAGGCATTGTGAGATTGTAAGGAGAGAGACAAGAGTGGGGAAGTAGGAGTATGATTTTCTGAATCTGAAACAGACTAAATGAAAGCTTCCTCAGTGTTCCCCATCCTAATGCATTCCAAAGAAAACACTGAAGATTTGAATAATCTCTCTAACACTCTTCAGTATTCATAGAGAATAGTGTTACCTGTATACTAGAAGAAGAAAAAAAGAAGAAGAAGAAAAAAAAGGAAGAAAGAAAAAGAAAAAGCCCATGGTGGAGTCAAAGGCAGTATTGGAACAAGAGTCTGATCAGATTTTATTTCGATATCCCAGTTCTCTATATAGAGATTTACTTACAGGTATAGCAGTGACAGTGTAAGACTCTGATGTAAAGGTCAGTATAATATATAAAGGAAGCATAGAGGAGAAGAGAATTTGTTTCTTAATAATGATTTTGAGGATCTACAATATGTGAAGTACAGGGATAACAGAAAGCACAAGTCTTGTCTTCCAAATAATCATGTGCTATTGAGTGAGAAGAGATACACACACACACACACACACACACACACACACACACACACACACACACACTTACTGAAGGAGCATAGATAGCAAGTGTAATTTGGCCAATAAAACATGCTATA